TTTCGCAGTTTTTCACGAAGACTCTAGAAGAAGGACATGCTGCTTAACGAACCCCTAGAGCGAGTAGAATTCCTTGGGTTAGTTTTACACGTGAAAGGGAAATGGAAGGTTTACTGGGGTCCAGTCGAGCCACTCGACCATTACCGAGACGACGGGTAAAGGTGACATAGGTGATGTTAACTGTCTGCAGTGATATATACCCAGTATTGCAGTTAGGATCCTTAGGAATGGCTTTAAAACTTCTTGAGAAAATAGAGTTAAACCCGAAATCGTTCAGGAGACAACCTTATTCTATATGCTCTTTCACAGTGACGCATAATTCTTTTTCTACTTCTTGCCAAATTTATGAATATGTACATGTGTGCGTTTGCGTGGACGAACGGTTTTCCGAGAGTCGATTCGTGTAAGAGCCAAGCATGCATTCACAAGACTAGGATGAACTTGGGGCATTTAAGTCGTGTCGATCCAATGGGCTCCACTTCCCTACGGCAAACTTTCTGTGAATATGTACCCAGCCTATAATATAAGGTGTTGAGTTACTTTTGAGTTTTTTCGCCAAAAGCAGTAAAAATAGAGCGAATTAGTCGAAAAATGCAATTCTCTTCGGATGCGTCATCCGAGCCGATCCATGCTTTTTCTCTGCAGTTATCTCAATCTCAATCGGGACCTCCTTCACTTCGGCAAAGGCCGAGATGCTCACTCATCGTCTGTGATTGAGTGTGTTGAACAGGGCAAGCAAACATTGTTTACAATTCCTATTTCTGTAAGATTTTCTTTGCACTTAGCCATTTGTGTGTGGTTGTTGAGTTTTTTTATGATGGTTATATGATAATACACAAAGGCATAACTCAGCTTTTACTATTTATTACACTATTATTTATTTTTGCTCGTTAATACCTTATCGTTTCGTTATATTCGCTTTCTGACTGCCTCTAAATATGAGCCGATTTGCTGTGAAAGTACTGCTTCATTTTCTTCTTTCAAGCGCCACTTTTAAACTTTCGTGCTGAAATTATCTTGTGGCGTTCGCTTCTCGAGAAGTACAGAACGATTCGTAAAGACTCTGTTAACTTTTCCTACACTTTAAGTTGGGAACTTCAAAACAACAGCTTTTGACAGTAAGTATCAAGTATAAGGAAGTTAAACGTGTCACAGTTTCTGACAATGATGTTACTTACGTACTTAGAAGATTTAATGACCCATGTTCAAGAATAGCGTAAGATTACTCATAACTAACATTTGACTGATTTCTTTGCTGGTTAGCCAAGTGTTTGTGTTTAAAGCACTCTTCGATAGCTTACCACCACAATGATGGTCGTTAGTTCTGACAAATGTCGAATTGAGCAACAGATGGGTTGACTTCATTATTGAATGCCGTCAGAAAGTTCGACATTTCCATCTGGAAGCTACAACATGTCTGTTCCAGCATCTCAAGAAGAAAGAACCAGCAAACAAGTACTAAATTCGGCAACAAAAATAGTTATGTGTTTTAGTGAAAACAACAAGAATAGAGGATCTGATATCTTGCTTTCGATTTCATTAATAGTTTTTATGATTCCGATTCGCTTTATCCTATCAGCTTCAAGCGACGACATTGTATTTACACAATATCTATCATTTAGAGACGCATTTTTCTCTATTTGCACTATCATTTTCTCTGCGGATGCAATACGCTCTACTACTAAGAGAGCTTGGTGTGGTAATCATAAATGCTGTCCTGATTTCCTTCCATTTGAAACACGACAGCCACTATCTGCACAAGCAGTAATACTGTTACTAGTAGCTTTCTTTTTTTCAATTGGAAGCGCAAACATTTGATGATATGCTAAAAGTTTAGTAGGCCTTATGACATTATTAAAATGTCTATCTTTCCGTATCAGTGCTTCTACGTTATTTTCCTTATCCCCACTAAAAAGCATGGCACACGAACACGCACGTGTTCTGAGGCGTAAGCATCGACCACGACACTAACGATCCGGTTTCTTTTCTTACTCATCAGCCAAATGCACTGAAGTTGTTGTGTTTGTAAAAAACTACTAAACAACAATGTCTGAAGTGTCATAGCTCTTCTTATTTGCTTTACTAGTTATATAGTGGTCTTGCAGAAGTCACCAACAATAGTTATCCTCGTTAACACTCTAGGCTGCTTACGTGTTTGCTTAAACTATATATTTGTGTTTCACTCTATCTTGAAAAGCAGCGATATTTTCTTTCGTGATAGGTAGTATTAAGATGAAAGGCGCCATATTTTCTTTAGAAACTTTGATTAGTTGACTCCACCCATCTCGTTATCTCCGCCCCTCTTATTTCCTGTTACATGAATGTTATCCTGATACAAAATACTTCTACAGTTGTTCTGGTGCACTTTCGTCAATTTTTCAAGCAGAAGCTCTTTTCTGTAATGTAAACATAAACCACTTGGTCTTTTTTTGTTATTATACATTCATTAAACTGACTTATGCAACACAGTACTGCAAAAATCTCACCTTCGTTTTCCTCATCCGTAAGATGTCGGTTTTTCCTCATAATCAGAAAAAAAACACCCTAAGAATTAAGCTAAGGTGTTTCGAAAAAGTGTAATGACGACGTCATCCTCACCTTGTAGAGACGATTGTACTTTTCATTGTTCTGTCTCATATACATACGATCCCAACAACAACAAGAACGTTTTAAAAGAGGTATGCCTTCCACTCGTTTGAAATAAGTGTTTATATTTTTCACAACAAGGTATGAAGCTCTGGCACTACTGGTTGTAGTGGTGCTCGTGTAGGATTATTATCGTTTGTATGACCACTTTTCTAGGAGGATGTTGGTGATAACGACGACATCAATAAGTCCTTATCCCTAAGGACTTCCAGAGTTTCGTTGTTACAGCTGTCGAAATCGCTACATTCGTCGTCCTTCGACCCTACAACCACTCTAGGAGATCTCGACAACATCGTAACATTGGGTATGTCATAATAAATATCAATAACAAATGCTATTTAGCCCATGTGGTAATACATATTGGTTCTTCAAGTGGTGTTTGTGCTCCCCCATCATTCTTCATCTCTTCTTTATTCTCAGATATTTGGTTTCAATGTTGAGTAAATCACTTAATTTACTAGATTTGCCAAAACTAAGAATATTTGCGTTGCTAAAAGTTTTTCTGATAGTTGTTACTTAGAACTTACAAGTACCATAACATACAAGTATCAAGTAGAAAGTTACTTAGTACTCAACACCCTTCCCTTTTCTATTCTAACACTACTCGGAACGGAACCACTACTTGTTTAAGATTGTTTTTCTGTTCTCTCCGGAAATATTTGCTCTTATGAAGAAACCGTTCTTCATTCGTCCCACATAATTAAATGTGTTGTTACTTCAAAAGTACGGAGGGATCATGCAATTATACGTGATTAGGATAGACTAAAAGATATGTTATGGTGACATAAATAACTTAAACTCTGGTGTTTTTAGCAATTGCTTAGAACTATGAATAGCCGTCCAGACGTCATCACCTGGTGGTGGTTAGCGCGTTGTTCGACGCTCTCAGTGATCCACTGAGAGACGTTGTTCCGCTGTTCGTTGCCTCATTTTATCAACTAGCACTATTACACCCAACCAAGGGGGCCATCAACCACTAGTGCTTGGTCGTTTTTAACAGCAACCGGAAATACGAGTTTTACCGCGATTCTATCCCAATTTCTTTTCTAAAAGCCGAAGAAAACCTTGTACCAATCTATGGGTCAGGCGGCGATGCTATTTGTTCAAAGTAAAAATAGGGATTGATAAATGGTGTCAATGGAGGGAAATGTCATTCACTATGTGTAAAATCTGTCAAAGCATTTGTTCGAAGCTTGGTCAATGTTCAGATTTCGACTAGCAAAAAGGCCCATTTCGATTTATTTCACATAGAATCGATAAGTTTTTCTTAACAAAAACTGGACACCATGTGCAGATTTTCAACTGAAAACATTGTTTCTATTTTTATCCGTGCTTGTCGCACTGGCTGACGTCAACAGTGTTCATTTTGCTATTGGTTTTATCAAATCGCTGAGTCGGGGAACATCCCGGAACATTCGCCTCAATAACGAGCCAAAAAAGTTGGGAGCATTATGATTCTTTCCAAGGCAGTTTTTTCATCTTTGTCTTATACAATTAACGTCGACATTCTATTATTCCGATGTCATAGATGGATTTTAAAGTACTGCCGATCTTCTGTTGTAAATTTATTTTCACCTACAGTACTATCCAACCAGAGACTGTGAAATCGTTCCCAATTCGATTTACGCACGAAGTGGTATTTCATGGCAGGAACATCTTGCAATACTGAATTCATTAGAAGAATCCGGAAATTGGAGGTGTTTATGTTCCGTAACACACTACTTGTGCTGAAGGATAAAATCTAACTTTGTTAGATTAGGTTGTCATTGAGTTCATCCATCTAACATAACTGTAAAACTTTTCTCCCACTACGTTCGATATTTGCTTTTTTTGTCAGTTAACTCATGTGGTTTCATTCACTGAATGAAAAAGAAACTCAAGGGATACGAGGTGATCCGGCGTTCAATCGTCCATGCGCGATATTGATTCGACTCTATTAGGAATATTAGCTGTAAACGAAGCGATTGAATCCATTTTTGACCTATAGAGTGACTTCACAAGCGTGACTATTCTATATTTATCAAGTCGGTGTTTTTTATGCTCCTAGACAACTCTGGTACCAATTATCACGGGCGTGCGATCAAACAAACCTTCGTCCGTGTGCATCATATGGCACCTCAAGCCATTTAGTAAAAAAAATTATGGACGTTAACGCTGATTTATTGATGTCATTCAAAAAAGTAAAACAAATAATTACAGGTGCGGGTACGTACGGTAGGGTTGACCTGGTAAAGCATCGCCGCACCGGACAGCATTTTGCGCTGAAAATTCTGAATATTCATAAAATGAGTGGTTTTGTTTTCTTTGTCCCTTCGCTAATTACCTAGCTATTCACTCAATACAACTAGCTTTAGATGGTACAATCTTGTCAGGTTCAGCACGTGCATAATGAGAAGAGGATTTTAGGTCAACTCGAACACCCATTCATAGTAAAATTGTAAGTTGTTTTAATCCAGTTGCTTTATACTTTTAAATGATAACTATTTTAAATAGTGAGATTCTGTTAGAGCTGAAATGACTTCAAAGTACAAAAGAAAACTGTTCTATTTCCCGGATCGTGCATGAATGTTGTAGAAAACAATAGACAAACGCCATTTGCCTTTCAGGATCTCAGCAGATAAAGACGGCACGAATCTCTATATAATTATGGAATTTGTTTCTGGAGGCGAATTACTTGCTTATCTTAGAGCATCAAGGTATACCTAACAAGCGTTTTAAAGTGGTTGGAAATTTTTTTATCTCATACAACAAAAAGCAAAACCTTTGTACATAGGTAGGGGAAATAACCCACGAACCACAAATTTGATTCTTTTCGTTTGAAGTACATGATCTTTTATGAAACCCTATACTTTAGGGTGTTTTCGAATGCCGTGAGCTGTTTTTATGCTGCTGAAATTGTTTGCGCTTTAGAATATATCCACAAAAAAAACATTGTAAGTGTTTTGGTTGCTTTTCCTTCTCCGTTGCAGTTATTTTCTTTCTACGATGCCAATACGAAAGTGCGCGATGAAGAGAATCTGAAGAAAAACAACTACTGAATCTGCTTATTCATGTAGGTTTATCGTGATCTGAAGCCCGAAAATCTGATGCTTTCTCGTGATGGTCACATTAAATTGACTGATTTTGGATTTGCTAAAGAGCTGAAAGGCAGGTTGGTATATAGTTTAACTCATAATCATTAAGAAATGTATGTTATAGATTCTAACCAGATGGCTTTGATATGATTACTAAGCAGTTAGGTGGAAAGTGATATAATTAGTACGTGACATTGGCATATCTCTCTGTCTCCCTACCTATCCATTTGTTGGTCTGTCCGGGTCTTCGTTTCTTCCTTTATCTCCATTCTTCCTCTCTTTGCTTTTGTTTGTCTCTGCCATATTCTGTATGGAATATTACGACAGTAGCACTTTAATTATTGTATGTAGGCAGCCATACGAAAAATTGTCTCAGGGATAAAAGGATAAAGCTTTCGTCGTCGATCTGTTCCTGAGGGATGCGCCATGCATTCGACTTTATTAAGCAACGTTTGTAGGTGAATGAATGCATATCTGACCTTTACAATGACTCACGGTGGCCTACCGATGTATCGAGCCAGTGCTGTTATCCTCCTAGGCCTGTCTGACACCAATTTGCCAACCCCGAAGTGATGGAACGCTTGGTTGGCCATGGGCGCGGGGATCAATTCCGCGTGTGTATTGCAGGGAGCCTCTGACCACTTCCCCACACATGCCCTTTCCAGGGCCCAGGGATAGGCAAATATTTAAACATTCTCTAAGCATAATTTATATGTAGGTATGTGTAGAAAAAAGGCAGATGGCGCTTTCATGTCGCACTATCGCATCAGCTGTGTAATAGACAGTTGATAAGTAACCAAAAAATACTCAATCTGCCATCTTTGTCGTCTAGTTGAAAGAAATGTATGTTGTATTCACCATTATCTATTCTGCACAAAAGCAGACACAGCAAGACGATTTTTGTTTCTGTAATATATTCATCTCAAGAACACTTAGGTTGGGGTTGTTAGTGATCAGAACGCAAACACCAGGCGAGCAGTTCGTTAAAAGTTAGTGTTATTAATGAAATGAATTCATTACTATTTCCGATTCACTGATGTTTTGAAGGTACAGTAAGAAAACTGAGTGTAAAGCATGACATGGATCTTAATTATTAGTTATATCGTTTGCTCAGTTTTCATCGTTGGGTTTTTTCCCGCCTGTAATTATAAGGCTGCTGAGACATATTCTGGTTGAGAACAACTGAAAATGTTATAGAAACATCTTATCGACTTGAGGTCATTTTATTAGAAGTAAGGAAGCGTTGTGAAAATGTTGCGATCATTGCACGCGTATTCCTGACGGCGATGGTCTTCTAACTGCCAATAAGTTTTTGAAAACTGAATAGAACCCTTGAGATTTTTGATTTTTGGTTGTGATTTTTTTCTAAGCTGCTTCGAGCGCTAAGATATTTTTCGTATAATGTTATCTTAATTCAAATTTTACTGGCATTGAACTTCTCAGAGCTCTGAAAAATATGTTCGAAATGTTCTAAAAGTCGTTAAATAAAGTGCCTCTTTCAAAATATCAAAGACGTGTTCACTGAAATCGTAGAGTTTTGCCGCACGAGAACACACTCTTCTAGTCCGTTTCAAATCCGAGTCTGTTCAAAAACAAGCGAATGAGAGTGTTTTTTCGGGTTCCAAAATGTCGCAGAATTTTATTTCGACAGAATAAGCAAACTTCGCTTTGATGGATTAGGTGTATAGTTTATAGTGGCCCTCATTTCAACTAAGATTCTTTATGAACTGAGATATTCTGGGTTGAAGTTGAAACAGTTTGATAGAGCAAGCTATTTTTGCTATGCATAAGCTACATATAATATGACTTATATGGAGGTGAATAGGGCGCGTGTGGCGCAGTGGTTGGAGGTGCTTTGCAACACATAAGTGGAATCGATCTCCGTGCCCATGGCCCACCAAGACTTCCATCCCTTCGGGGTCAGCAAATTGGTACTAGACCTGTCTGCAAAGATAGCAGCACTGGCCCAATACATCGGTAGGCCACCGCGAGTCATTTTAAAGGGCAGATATGCATTCAGTAACCTCCAAGCGTTACTTAATGAAATCGAACGCATGGCGCATTCCGCAGGAACAGATCGACGACGAAAGCTTTATCCTTTTATCCCTGGGACAATTTGCCGAGAGCCTTATCTTTATCCTTTTGTGGTGGTGAATATGTGAAATATTACATCATTTAGCATGGGATATGAAACATTAATTAATGAAGTGGTAACGACAATGCGAACATTAGTGTTGCGTTTCCATTCTCAACAATTGCTATGATAGAGCAGAATTAGTAGAATTCTTCGAGGTCCTATTTGAAATGATGAGCACTTAAACGGTTTCAATCGAGTCAGCAACTTATTTTGCTTTCTTAAAAGAAAAATAGAAGTTTATATAATGCTGGGATATTTCCAAAACCCCGGACCGCAGGTGTCTGTGGTGGAGAACCAACTTGCTATTATCCTTTCCGGGGAGTAACGCGTTCACCACCACGCCATGCGGTTCCTTCGTTTCGCCTGTCTCTCAGCCAGTTCTGTGGATCACTTGCCATCTCAGCATTACATAAGTTATATTTCGCCACATATCCTGCCATTAAAAAAAATAGACAGTAAATAAAAAGTTGAAAAATAGAGGCTTATCTTTGAAATCCTCCTTGTCCTTCTAATCCTATCTTTCTTATCAAAATGGAAAGGTTTGGAGGAAATCGGAAAGTAAACTACGCTCTTCATCTGAAACATAGGTTTCACTGTGCTAGTGTGACTGCCTTTTTATCTATGTTCAGGACCTACACTCTATGTGGTACCCCAGCATATTTGGCGCCAGAATCTCTGTCACGCGAAGGTCACGCGCAATCTGTTGATTGGTGAGCACTTTGGTAAACAAATTATGGTAATGAAGTGCTCGAAGAAATTAATTTATAGCAAGCACTTTAGGGTATTTTTAAAGGAGACATTTTTATCTCACCCTTCATAAACACTTTACTGTTCCATTTTTTCGCAAGCAGTGTGGGCGATACCTGCATACATACAAGAATACTCGGATGATACTTTTCCACTGATAGCTCGGGCCCCAACTCAACTTCTATTTCCTCCTGTCTCGCTCTAACGCCGTCTATGGTAACGGTCTGCTTCGATCATAGCGACTTTCGCAGAGCCCATCCTTTGTCCTAAACTATTCCTTTCTGTAAATACAGACGGTTGACGTCAGCCACCAACTCTTTCTTACACCTTTTTGCTGATTGATCACGGGGACGCTTGCATCCTTCAGAGGTCCACTCATTGTTTTTTTTTTGCCTATCTGCACCTCTTTTTCTATTTATATGGTCGGCTCATGTGTGCTTCAATACCGTTGTGTGCTAACCTGCATCCAGAATACGAGTTAGATTTCGACAATCTGAGCTACGGATTCCGGCTATGCGTTTTGAGTGCCTCTTACCTTTAAGAAGACATCCTTCAAGTGCTCTGTGGATGGTACACGAAGTTGTTGATGTGGGTGAAGTATCAGTCCACGTTTCTTCTACATAACCGAGCGCTGAGAGTACTGAATCGAAAAGTGAACGCGGAGTTCTGGATCCGCTAACTGGTCGGTTTCTTTTTCGATGATCCGAATCCTGCCCATGCTGCTCTCCTTCTTTTTTACAATTACTCCTTCGTGTTGTTCTCCATGCGCATTGAGCGTCCAAGCTACAGAGGTTTCTGCAATCAGTGAACGTTGGATTTGTTCACCTTCGCCACCACAGGTTTTTCATTGGGTTCTGTCCTATTTTTGTGTAGTCCAATTTTACTGCCCGTTTCGTTGAGTTCACTGAGCATCGCCTCTGCTCCACTGGTGCTTCTCGGAAAGATGATGATGTCATCCACGAAACGAAAATTTGATAGGAACTTTCTTTCAATACGCATGCCTTTCTCTTCCCAATATATCTCCATTACCCACTGCTGTGCGGCAGTGGGCAGCTTTGACGATATGCTGTTGCCTTGTCGAATCTCTTTTCTTGTGGGTATGGTGAGAGGTCGCTTTTGTACTTTTCTTTTTTCACTTTTACTTTTTAATGTGCTTTTGTGTACTGTACTTTTGCACTGCGGTTTGGATAAGAGTCCGCAGGTTCTTTTACAGGCGACGGATCCACACACGCTGTCAAGTGCTATTTCTCGGTCACTGAATGCTAGGTCAAGACGAATGTAGTACTATCAGTAGACATTTATCACACGTGATGCGGTACGGATGTGATTCGTGCAGCAGAATCCCTGTCGTTTTCCTGCTTGCTTGGCTGGTTGTGCCTCATCCAAGGTATTCGATATGCGCATTGGGATCGTCATCGTGAAGACCTTGTCGACCACATTCAACAAACATATTGAACGATAACTAAGAAAATGCCTTCGGTCACCCTTCTTGTAAGAGTTAGGTGAAGGACGTCTAATTTTGCATCCAATGAGAGAAAAGTAAGTTGTAATATTGTCGGGTTCTGGAGTTGTTTTCTAGCCATGCCATTCATCACAGCTTAACTTCACAGGGCAAGATCTCGGGCGGTTTTTCTCCAGCCGAGATTTTGAGGTCTAAGACTAGGACTGTAAAGCGGAAAAATTTGGTGTGGGAGTTTTCGATTACTAATTCCTTAGTACGACTGGAATTGGTGGCTGTCCCATTTTCGTTGAACGAGGCTGACAGTGGAACAATGTAATCGCGAAGATCCCTACGGAACATCTTAAGACTAGATCGTTTTTGAGCTGCTTCCAAAATTTCTTTCTGCCTATACCGATATAAGTCCTCCTGTAAAAGTTATGTGCACCTGCATGAACAAAGAGTTTCTACAGCCGACTTTTATTACCTGCCACCCTAGGTGTGCTACGGTAGAATCAAGCCTCAGTGTTTTCTCGACCAACTCCATAGCGGTAATGGAGATGCGACCTGAACTTCATATTTGAGCAATAGAAATTAGTTCGGCGCAGGTTTAAACTAGTTCAACAAGCAGCTTGTAGTTCTTGGTCTGGTTTTTTTTGCCAGTTATATAAGGAAAGGAATATACTGAAACCGTTCTCGTCATTCATGACCGTTCCCTTTTTCGTGGATGGCGACAGGTGTTCTTTTCCAGCCTATGGCTGAATGAGCTCTTCGCACAAACAAGGCGATAAATAGATCCACTGCAGAATCTAGGTACCGTTGAGCTTTCAAGAGGGCACCACTTTCTGTTCGTGAGAGTATACTCGATTTCCGCATGAGCCGTCCCATTATGAGACTTCCATGATTAACGGCTATCGTCTCTCTTCTCGAGAAATAGTTTCCCATTGAAGAAATGTGTTGCGAACATAAGACCTACAAAACGATTCCGATTATCGTTTCGATTCCCTTTTCCTAATCTCTCTATCCTGTACCCGTTTTAGCAGCTTCCAATCAGGTGCTGAAGTCCTTAATCACAATTTGTAGAAAAACTTTTCATAAATGATTACGTTCTCCATCTGGCTATAAAACGCTTCTAGTTCGCTCTTATCAGCTGTGCGAGTTGGTGAGTAACAGTTGATGACACTCACTTTCTTCTGACGCATAAGTTGAAGACGAATAATGTCTAAGGCGGTAACAGGGTTTCTTACAAGGTGACTAGAAGGTATATTAATGGGTGTACGACAAGGCCGACGCCTCCAACATTTGGTAGCAGAGATTCTCTTTAGCAGTGACAGGAGTTCCTTCATCTAATTCGCGTACGTTGTCCTTCTTGCTCTTCGTTTCTTGTTGGGCGGACACATTGAATTTACTGCGACTCGCGGTTTTAAGAGGAGAGTTGAGATCGAAGTCTGAAAATAGTGTTCTGCCGTTGTTGGTTTAGACCAAGAAGCAGACTCCATGGTGCTCGCATTGTCCGCTTCCATTGACATACTGTGCAACCTGAAATTCGATCGCCTCTCACCGGCTGCCTCACCACTCGACCTCGTAGGTGGGACCGGACAGTGTGCGAGGTGCTGACTCTGGGGTGTTGCTGATTAATGCATTGTGGTTCCTCGGAATTCTGTGGTCGGCCTAGCCGAAGCCTTCTTCTGGTCCTTACCGCCTGGGAAAATCGTCTTCTCTTCTGGAACAGAAGAACATTTGTCTCCTTACGCCTAATCAAGACGGTTGTGATCCCGCGCATTGTGCCAGGCATCCGCATAGGAACGGTAAACTCCTAAACCGCTCATTGTACATTGCTGTCCGATGCTCAGGTACCCCTCCCAGCCACGATGAAGGGCTGGAACTTTCGGAGCGTTATCTGCGTAGTTCTAAAAAAATATCGGTACCCTTACTGTAATGGTAAAGGGAAGGAAAAATTTTATTTTATGATGTTTTTTTTATTTTAGGTGGGCACTTGGTATTCTGATTTACGAGATGTTGGTCGGTCATGCACCATTTCGTGGTAACAATATAGTTAAGGTGTACGAATCCATAATGGAGTATAAACTGAACTTTCCTCGTAATTTCAACTCGGCAGCCAAGTCAGTTATATGTTCGTCTTATCTTCATGATATTTCTTCTTTACTTTCTTACAGTAACCATTACATGAATAAAAATATGAGTAACAGCTCCATGCATTACTTAACTATGCAGAAATTCTTGATGCAATCTTGATGCAGAAATTGTGGAGGACTTTATCGCAGCGAAATTCAAAGATTACGTTTTTGTTACACATCTTTTAAGAATTACTTGCATTGCTGCTGTATCCCATCCTAAAGTTGTTTGTTATTCACAACAAATTTACCGCATAATGCTTACTTTGGTATTTAGCATACAATAATTTCATGCAGGTTTAAATGATTGTTAACGAGAAAACCAGTTTTCACGAATCAACAATCGTTCGCAATTTAAAAAGCTTTCGAAAGGTGTTAAAGCGGAATGAAGCGTCTCGCATGAATAGAAAGAATGGCAACAAGACTTTCGTCAATAGATCCAGTATATAATATAATATAGTGCTAATAATATAATAACATTATACGGGCGCGTGTAGCTCAGTGGTACGATGTGCTTTGCTACACACGGTTTGACTTTCGCGCCCGAAGCCCACCAAGCCTTCCATTCCTCTGGGGTAGGTAAACTGGTACCAGACTTGCCAAGTAGAATAGCAGCACTGGCTCGATACATCGGTAGGTCACCGCTAGTCATTGTAAAGACCAGATATGCATTCAATCACCTCCAACGATGCTTAATGGAGTCGAATGTATGGCTCACTCGGCGATTGATCAACGCCGAGAGCTTTATGCTTTCATCTTTTTATAAGTCCAATATGTCTTTTTTATACGCAACAAAGATGACCGATTTTGAGGTCGGATTGTGACATAAACAAAAATTGGTCACGTTACAACAACAGGTAACGTTCACCATTCGGACTGAGATGAAGCTTCTAAGCATTCTCCAAAGCTTATTTTGCGTAAAAGGAAAGCTAAGAAGTAGTGCTTGAAAATACCGCTTGTAATACATTCAAGACCAAGCACAGATCAATCAAATCTCCCATTACTCTGAGGCGGATGTTACGACAAAACTAGTCTAGCAAGGGCTCCCTTCGATCCACAAAGGACTGATAACAGCCCGTGGAGGGAACCTAAGAATTCTAGTAGGGATATCCCAGAAGTTACGTAAGAATCAGCTTGAGTACCATTCAAGGACAGTGGCGAAAAATGCAAATCCGAAGGCACTGCTAGAAGAAAGAAGCGAAAAAAAAACTAGTTGGTTGAAAGAAGTGTTGTACAATAAGTGTATGGTCATGCAAGTAAAGTAGTGTCACAAAATTGATGGAACAGAAAAGATGCAATCCTCTTCTACGATCTCGCTTGACAACACATTACACATCTAACATAACAAAAGTTGGACGACTTAAGCTAACATCTGCCTTACCCACCATAATCCTCCGACATAATCCTATAACCAACGAAGTAGCATTTTTTCCAAGCATCTTGTCAATGATGACAAATATGCCTTTGTGAGCATGGTTATAGTGATTTAAAAATCATAATCCAAAACCGCAATTACTTTCCCAACTGATCCATTTGTGGCAACAAAGGCGATTTCCGTTTTATTCTTCACAGATAGTCCAATTTACTTGGTACTTGAACGGCTCTTCATCACTAGTTGTGCGGGCCCTAGCATAATCACCATTTTTCGGAGATTTGCTGGTTAAGCCATTGTGGTTTCCTGGAATCCCGAGGTCAGTCTGGCCAAAGTCTGCCCCAACTCCTCACCACCACAGACAGTTGGTCGCAGCCTTTGTGGATCAGAGGGAGATTTGCCACCATGCGACTTTGATACCAGGGCGGTGGCGGATCCTGGTATTGGTTTACTCTTAGCTAGGCTTCCTGATGGAAACGCTGGACACCTTCTCAGCTTGGGAGAGCTTGCCGGGAAGACGAATCCCCACGCTGTACATTGCAGTGCGACACCCATTAGCACCTCCCAGCCACGATGAAGCGGTAAACCGTTGAGAGCTCCAGCTAGTATGATTACTGCCATCGGTTACTTGAGACTTTAAAAGATCAAGGAGACCGCACGCTATTCCAAAAGTGTCGAAAAGAACCTGATTAGTAAAGCACTTCAGGAAGTCGCGTGCTTTGCTACTTTTTTCAATCTAATATAGATTTATGTTTCTGCCCTTAACAACTATGTACATGTTTAGAGATCTTGTGAGAAAACTGCTCACAGTCGACATCTCAGTGAGAATCGGTTGCACGACCAACGGTGTCAGTGATATACTGCGTCATAAATGGTTTCAGAAAATTGACTGGAATGATATTCGTCAACTCAAAATTGAAGTTTGTGCTCTTTTCTTCGTTAATGGATTACAATATCATGCCGTCGTGATTCCTTCACTCAAGAATCTCATAGTAAGGCAATTTTATTCGCTATGCAAGTTATTATTCTTTTTTCAGCCTCCTATCATTCCTACTTTGTACCACGCTGGTGACACTGGAAATTTTGACGTCTATGGTGAGGAAGAAGAACAGTGGATTGCTGCTGAACCCGTGGAACTTGAACAGTTCAATGGATGGTGAAACCACGTGACTTTGTAGTGCAACTTATTTCTGTTTATTGTGATCACTTATGCTGCTTTTGCTGCTTTAAGAAGTACGTGTTGATAGGTTTTTCTCCATCACTACTCTGTCTATTTGTGCTTATTTTTATGTTGTTGCTGTTTTTTCTGGGCCTTCTGTGAAAACAACTCCCTCAGGATTTATACCGATCTTTGAAAGCTCTTCGGTGAGTAAAACTATGTTATGGTATTCATATACAAGTGCAATGTATTCGTCTCTTTTCTTAAGGAGTACAAAGGAGTTTTTCGATGGTTTTGTAGTTGTTCATAGAAGTACGAAAAAGATAACGACGTAACGAACATTTTATCTGAATTTTGCTGCATATCATTCGTCATTTATAATCGATACGGCATTGGTTCGCTTTTCTATTACTACTAATGTTGTAATCTATATTTGCACTTGCAATGAGTAGTTGGGGTTCTTGTTATAGACGTAAATTTCCTATGTTAATTCATTATTATTGCAGTGATAAAGGCAACATGTACACTTGGATATTTGCTCCTTCAATGGCCCACCTTTGCAAAGAATTAGGCGCGAGCACATTCTCAATTTGGTTGGCATAATTTGCTAGTCGGGCAAATTTTTCTTTCTTTTGGTCTCCAGATTGCTTTGCAAGCCCTTTCTCAACCAGTTACTACAGACAGTCGTCGACTGTTGTGGATCGTAGCAACGATAGACCGACAATCCATTGAGCAGTGGGAGTACCACATGCAGTCTTTGCTTATTCTTTTTTTGTTTTAAAGGCTTATTAAAGGATAAAGCTCTCGGCGTTGATCAATCCCTGAGTAACGAGCCATGCATTCGACTTCATTAAGCATCATTTTGAGGTGACTGAATGCATATATGGTCTTTACAATGGCTCACGGTAGCCTACCGATGTATCGAGCCAGTGTTGCTATCCTTCCAGATAAATCTGGAACCAATTTGCCGACCCCGGAGGGATGAAAGGCTTGGTAGACTATAGGCGCGGGGATCGATTCCACGTATGTGTTGCAGGGCCCTCCGACCATTGCCCCACAGCCGCCCCTATAAAACCTTGTACTACTGTGATTTTGTTAGAAATACGTCTGTGCCTGTATTATCTCTGTCCTATTTAGATATTCACAACGGAATATAAAGAGAATCACCTTTGGATAATGTTTTCTTTGCTGGCTTTTGTGAAAATATAGTCACATATAGCTCGGTGGTGTCTGCCAGGGTATAGATTCAGTCCTTGCTGGCGTTCCAGTTTGAAATGCTGCACTCCTTATCAACATGGAAAATAATTGTAGGAGAAAGCTCTACATCAGTCACACTTAAACAATAAAATAACTGACTTGATGAGCGACGAGCGAGAGTATAACAGTATAAGCGAGCTAAAAGTGAAAAAAGAGACAAAATATTGAATATGACGAAGTTTTTCAAATAGGGAGAGAGCAAGAACAGTCTACATGTACATGGACGTTTTCCAAAAAAAAGATAAAAAGAATCTTCCTCCAACAACACAACCATTCAACGGAACATTGTTTCTGGTAAGCTCTAACTGTTTCTATCATTGGTGCTGTAGTCAATTACGGGAGGGTAATGACACGTTCTGTAAAGTGTTATTAAGGAATGGATTGCTAAGGCAGGTCTCGGATTCTCATGTATGATCATTCTCTTCTTATTCCTACTCTCCTCTCATATTCTCATTGTGAAAACGAGATAAACCTCAGTGATAAACTGCTCCTGTTCGCAGATTGATCATTCAGAGGGTTTTTTTCTCTCGATAAACCCAACTCATTATGAAGCTTTGGAAGATAACAGAGAGAAGCGGAGTGTGGAATAACAGAGAAGATATGCTTGAGTTCACTTCCACTGCATGCACTCACTAGACTCCAACATTATTCTACATGGAAAACTCACTACTGGCTTCATCTCTTGAACTCCAATTTGCATTGAAAAATCAGATGAGTAACACAACTCCGAGTTAAGCTAACATAACGACCGACATCTTTCAGTTTGGAGGAAACGAACCAGATGTTTTCTTTTCATAATCAACGTGATGATATTCCTTGTGAATAAAAAATCGATAGAAAAACCACCATACGATGATGCGACGTCTTATAACTAATCATAACTTCCATTCTATCTGCCTGCTAAAAGCCAGCATGAAATATAGTTGCCCCGTATGAAAATTCCAGCTAGCTTTCGCTGAAAATGAATGGTAAGAGTAAGAGGACTTTTGTCTCGGCTTCCTACCGCCTCCATAAAAAATTTTGGTATGAAAAGGTGACAAAATGTCGTTGTTTATTATTGGAAGACAACAAATGTATTGATATGGAAGTCTGGAAGGGTTTGCTTGAAAGGTCGCGTGTAGCGCAGCGGTCGGAGGCGCCCTGCAACACACACGTGGAGTCGATCCCGCGTCCATGGTCCAGGAAGCCTTCCATCCCTCCAAGGTCGGCAAATTGGAATCAGATTTGTCTGCGAAGAAAGTAGCACTGGCTCGATACACCGGTAAGCCACCACGAGTCATTGTAAAGGTCAGATATGCATTCAATCGCCTTCAACGATGCTTGGTGAATTAAAATGCAAGGCGCATCCCTCAGTGATTGACCAACGCCGAGAGCTTTCTTTTTTTTGGTAGTTTGGAAACAGCGATTTATTGGTAGAGAACTTCTAGCGAGCTTCCATTTCAACAACAAAATCACTAACTGCTACTAGAAAAAAAATATAGCGCTGGATAAAGAAAAGAGAATGCTGCGAAAAAAACATGGGAATTCTTCTGGCATTGTACTATGCTGCAAAGAAGTAGATGGTCTCATTTCAGTCCTGTGGAGAGTTTCTACTTTTTTTCGAGAAACAATCAGAGTGCATGACCAAAATATGAATTTTCAGCTCACATCTTTGATTATTCTATTATTATCTTGTCTTCACACTCTCAAGAAATACGTTACTTCTCGAGCACATCCAAGAAGAAACATGCTCTAATAGTGAACTTTGTTGAAAACAGACGAAAGGGGTAGTGGACTGGTCCTAAAGGAATCCTTGTATCTATCATCATCAGACAACATCTAGTGAAAGATGGATGGACATTTTTGTCGCTCATGGGAAATAGCTGTACTTCAAGCTGGATAACGATTTCGGACTTACGGAGTAACACGTCCGTCCCAATGGACAACGAACGCACTAGAGCACGAAGAATTGAGACAAACTCGAACACACGCATACCTAATGAGGTGGTTTTCTTAGGTCCAAAAAACGGCTTAAACCAGCTGTCAATGGACAAATGGACTTGATGGAAAATTTGGTGGGAAAAACTGATTTCGTGATAAGTAGGACGTCTAAAGCATTTTAGGCAACCAATAGGAGGCAAAAAGTAAATGGAATGAAGAATCTTTCAGCATAACAAATTAATTTTGCCCCGTCTACCGATTCATACGACACATGATCTCAGCCTCTGTCGATTAAGAAAGGAATCACCATGTACCATTTTCGTCTCTACGTCTGCCCATCAAGATGAGTCATAATTTTCTTAACTTATGAGAGTTTCTATTGTTTCTATCAAATTTCTCTGCCGCTTTTGAATGATCTCTCTTGTTTCTACATAAGTTGACATTGTATCTGCCGTGCGGAACCACCAGCTCTTTTTTTATTCGGTTCTTTTTCTCGCTGTTATCGTCCACAGCTGTCTTTTGTCTTCATCACGAATGTTATAGAATGTTTATGGAGGCAAATGTTCCTGTAGCCTTAAAGGTTAGCTGAGCTAAGGCGTTCTCACGTGGATTGTTGGAACAGGGCATTATATTGGAGTTTGAACAAGCGCTTTGCCTACTGATGGACTACGTGACTAACCACTGCCCTACCCTATCCCGCTGAGTGATCTCCACGAGAACTACTTCAAAAAGGGCAAATAAGCTTAGAAAGCCAACCTTATTCCTTCATATACCTCTAGAGGAGGCATATGCGAAGTAAAATCAATTGTATTAGTTCTTTTCGCCGAAACATAAATAAAAAAGATAAAGCTCTCGGCGTTGATCGATCTTTGAGGGATGCACCATGTATTCCACTTCAATAAGCATCCTTTGGAGGATTTAGATTGAATGCATATCTGGCCTTTAAAATGACTCGCGGTGGCCGACCGATGTATCAAGCCAGTGTTGCTATCCTCTCAGACAAGTCTGGTACCAATTTGCTGACCCCGCAGGGATGGAAGGCTTGGTGGGCCATGGGAGCTGAGATCGATACCACGTGTGTTGCAGAGTGCCTCCGACCACTGCGCCACACGCACCCTTCGCCAAAACATAAGGGAATAATGTAAAGGCAATGCTGCCTATGCGGTTCTATTCAAAAGATGAGGAATTTTTGATATCTACAGAATTTTGCGTTTATTCCACAATATGTGCTAAGAATTCGTACAAAACTTGTGCAGGAAAATAAAAACACCGACTTGAGCCATCAATAGGGCACTGCAAGTTATGCTGTAGGCTGAGCATGCATCCAACTATCTCTATGGTGCTATGAATGGAGTCCGATCCATCTAGGTTGACCAATGTCGCTTTAATCTTCTTTGTCATGGAGTTTTACTCCTTAGATGTCTCATTCCTGTCAGAAAATTGTTAAAGTGAACATGTAGCTTATGGGTTGTGAAACCTATATTTGCAACGACAATACCAAAACACCTATTGTTTTACACAATAAAGTCACTTTTGGAATTAAACGCAAATCGAAAGTAACGAAAATGGCAAGTGTACTTGATGTGGGTCGAAGGTAGATTCACTGGATGGACTCCTTGTTTTGACATATATCTTCTTTGTTTACAAAGACATCTTCATTTATGGGGCGTGTACAGTTTTGCTTACGCATGTACGGATTGTTTCCAGAAAATAGAAATCCTACGGCCAGTAGATTTTCAAGTACGTGATAAGGAGTTCAGAGCTTTCTGAAAAAGCTCGTCGACTACACCGCGAAAAGTTGACAAGTTGCGCTCAGGCACAACGAACTCTCTCGACAGAACACTGAGACTTAGCTGTGGGGACCTTCTGCCGAAAACGAAAAATAGATGGTCTCATTTTCTAGTTCACAAAAAGATAGCTATCGGAAGGTGTTATGTTGAAAGAACTCAGAGAAATAGTTCCCAGGATCGACTTTCTCTTAACCTCGGCATTGGAATATGAATGTGTCGTTTTCTTGTTCAGCAATCGCGAGGTTTTTAAACAGCATACATTTACTTCCATAAAAACACAATACAATACAACGCTAGCTGACGTTTCGGCAGTATCGCCTTCTTCAGAGCCTGGAAGGGTATACTGATATACAATCTACTAGGCCAAACGCTTCAATAACACTTACACAAAGACGAAAGACTCTTTGGTAATTACACGATCAACAACTTCTCGAAAAAACCCACCGCAAAAACCAAACTCAGAGAAACACAAAAATCTCATAGCTATTCTAGATCACCGAGACCCTGAAACACTAGGGTTATAATTTGCATTACAACGTAATCAATAGAGTATCTCAAGCTCCAATCGAGAATGCGACGGTGAAAGCTGAAAAAAAAGCTGCGCACGACGTCATCGAACTGAATGAGACATAATAAGACAGTTTGGTACACACTTTTTATGGTGCTGTATAAATGACAGTTTTCCAAAACAAGAGAAAGTAGCCGAGCTGGCAAAGTCGGCGGACTTTTTGAAAATGAATACCTTGTAAAAACAAGGTGAATTGAACGTTTCCACTTGAAAAAACGTGGGCATATTATACCAGCTTTAACAGCAGCCTTCGTTGCACGTATAACATAATGGTACCACTATGAAGCAAGGATATCCAAGAAAAGCTGCAGAGAAGACAATAACTTCGAAAATTTCATGGACGTCATTGACTATCTAGTAGCCTTGAGAACGCTGTGAAAGTCTTTGAGAAACTGCACATTGAACTACGAAGGTTCGAATGGAGCAAAAAAGATAAACGACTACCTGGGTTCATCATTACTTCATGCATTTTGAAGTAAGTCCTCGGAGTTTCAAGAGTATCGAAGCGATGTTCACTATCTCACCGTAAACAGGTTTTCCTCAGGCGATGCTATTGTTCTGCCGAGAATTTGTACAGTACCGTGCCCATATTTCCGTTAGCAAAGTTTTATTTGTTCGGAAAAGAGAAAAAGTCTCAAAAATAAGAGATTTCCATGCCATTTTGAATTGAAGTTGGCTCGATGCTTCAGATTTCGTTGATAAGATTATCCTTATCAATAGCATAAATGAGGAGATACGAGTACCTTATCCTTGACGTCAGTGTTACAACGCAAGAGTTTTAAATCACGCAGATACGCATGTTTCCTGGAACTCTCCAGCTTATAAGCCAACTTTTCCTTAAGCGAGCTGCCAGCAGCCATCAATAGTCGTCGGGACCTACAAAGCTTTTGAGAAAATAAATATGAAGCTGTATTAGGAAGAGAAGAGCGGCAACGCTGGTCGAAGTCGCAATGATTTAGAAGAACACTTACGAAAGCCACGGGATTCTGCCTATCGTTGAAAGAAAATCATTGCTGTCTAGCACCGTAACGAAACATGCAGTGCGTCCGAAAATGCAATGAAAAGGTTCACTTACGTCAGCCGCCACGGTTTCTTTCAGTATTGGTATTTTCACTTATTATACGACTTAGGAGAATAGATATATCATCCCAAAATGGTGCTCTCATCTGAAACACAAAGCACTACGTTGTCGAAGAAGAGGAAAAAATAGTTGCGCAGTACATAGCCATGAGAGGATCAGTCACGGGCATCTGAACAATCTACTGTTTGTCTTTAACAACCGATGTGCCCGAACTACCGCAAAATCTGCACGTCTGTCGTTTCCGAGTCCTTTTAGCCACTCACGCTCAATTACATTAGCAGAACAATAGCTCAACGAGTGTCGTACGAGCAAACACGGTCTCGAGAATGGTCTAGTAGGATGCCTTGTCTACGATTTGTTGTAATATATCTGCATGTTAACGAAAGGATGAAAAAGGATAAAGCTCTAAGTGTTGATCCGTCTGATACCGCCATGTATTCAACTTCATCAAGTACCGCTGGAGGTGATCGAATTCATATCTAGCCTTTACAATGGCTTGCAGTGGCCTATCGATGTATCGAGTCAGTGGTGCTGTCCTCCCAAACAAGTCTGGTACCAATTTGCCAACCCCGGAAGGGGTTAGTGGTCCTAGGAAATGGGGATCGATCCCATGTGTATTAGGGGGTGTCTTCGACCATAAATAAGCACTAATACGGTATTCGGAGCAGACATGGCGATAAACTCAGCCAAATTTTGTTCAGGCTCGGATATTTTGTTAAATAACTAGGACTTTCATAGGCAGCATATATCCAGTAGGTTAGTTTTGGTAGAATTCTGTCATGTTATTTAGTTTAAAATACTCATAGTGTGATCAAACGGACTTCCAATAAGCACGTAGTGCTTGATTGTTACTTACTTGATACTTGAACGGCTCATCCTCACTGGTTGTGCGGGTGCCAGCATAATCTATATTTTTCGGAGATTTGCCGGTTAAGCCATTGTGATTCCCTGGTAGAATCACGAGGTCAGCCTGGTCGAAGTCTGCCCAGGTCATCACCACCACAGGTGGTCGCAGCCCTTGTGGATCAGTAGGAGATTTGCCACCATGCCACTTTGATGTCAAGAAGAGAAGCTGCCATCGTCGTGCCGGCTACCATCAGAATTATCCGTAATATAATGCACAAACCATTCAGTTCGTCGGAATCGCTTTCCAATAACAGTGACGCTTTGGTGTATAACTTAGCTAAAACGCTTATCTGGTACTTTACCCCTCCTTTTTTCCGTTCTTTTCTGGATCTGCTGATATCCTGGCGTTTCTTTCTTTTTTCTGTACCCAAATCTCCATCCAACGCTCTGAGGTTGTGCTCCCAATTCACTAGGCTCCTGTTCAAGAGACGATCTTCTTTCACTGGATTCCACGTTTTCTTTCGAATTTAACTCTCCAACATTGAATCCGAATGTGCTTACACACCGCGCTCAGGTTTTTCGTGGTAGGACACATCGATGTCTACATTTCGTACGAGTTGTCATCTTCCCGTTACTAGTCTCACAAACATCATTAATTTGAAATCGTTCCTGACTTTCCATTATTTTCTCTGCTTTTGTTTTTCACCGTTATGATGATGCTTCAGATTCACACACTTTAACAGAGTTCCTGTTTCGTTAACCGATTGTTTTCCCATAAGTTGGCTGGATTGATAATGGAATCTGCTATCAGGATCATCTACCAAATCTTTCTTTTTTCTGTTTTTCCCATTTGTTTTTCTTTACTTCATAAATCAACAGTTTACGAGTAGGTTGTAGTTGCGGTATTTAATGTGTTTTGGTTTCTCAGCTGATATGAAACTTGGTAAAGATGATCGAAAAAGTGAGTTACAGGACTTGCAAGATGTGTCTTGTAGGTAAATAACTTTATCATTGTGCTGGAAATGGTTGATGAACCAACCGAACAATGTCCGTCCGGGTTTCCGTCAGAGGCTATGATTTCCAAAGCAGAGAGCCAACAGGTGTTCACATCAGTTTTTCGATTTGTAAAACTAATCTAGGCATTTTTTTTCTTTCTGTGGCCGAGGCAGTTTGGTTAGCCTAGCACTGCTTTATTTTAGCCGGATTTGCTAGAAAAGTATGGAGAGTGTGCTGATGGTAGGAACGTCCTCATAGCTATTCTGGATACCGGAGTCGACCCGTCACTGCCGAGCTTACAGGTTTGATTCGCTTCTCCTACTTCTACTCTTCCTCTTCTTCTTTCTATTTAACCTTTATTTAGATGTTTTGAAAGAAAAGAATGGTAACGTTCAGCTTAAGTCAGCTTAAGAGGGTGTTTGACTGCCCATGTCTGCTTTCATTTCGGTCGCTTTGCGAAAAGAGGACGATCTCATTATGCAGATTATTGATTGGCTTAAGCAGTTAAGAAACAGCAAGTTAGTAATGAACACTGATTCATCTCAAACAATAGGTGTATCACGTCATATTTCTGAGTATAAATAAGAGGGTTTTTCTTTAAAGTTAGATGGCTTAGGCTTTGTTGTGTTAATGAATCCACTATTTCATAGATATACTGAACTCATTTTGGATACATTCTTATATTCTATTGCCAAATTTCTTGTATATGTTTTCTATTAGATTGAAATTTCAAAATAACAAAGCAAACAAACACGTACGATGGCGTTAGATTGCGTTATCTTATGTGTGTAGAAACGTAAAGGTGTTCCTGGGTGTCGGGCTGCGATGTACATTGGGGGATTCATTCCCCCGGCGGCGGGGTCTCCCAAGCTGATAAGGAGTCCAGTGTTTCCATCAGGAAGCTTAGCTAAGAGTAAACCAATACCAGGATACACCACCATCTTGGTATCAAAGTTGCATGTGGTAAATCTCACTCTGATCCACAAGGGGTGCGACTGCCTGTCGTGGTGACGACCTGTGGCAGACTTTGGCCCGGCTGACCTCGGGATTCCAGGGAACCACAATGGCTAAATTAGCGAAACTCCGAGAAAGTGGAGACTATGCTGGGGTCTGCTCAACCAGTGAGGAAGGGCCATCAAAGCATCAAAGTAAATGAGTAAGTAGGAGCGCAAGTAAATATTGGAGAAGAAAGTTCTGTTGTTGGAAAGTGTTGGAGAAAGCTATTGGGACAATGATGAATCTGTTCTCCGTAGAAAACAACGACGGGAGCACGCAAGATTGTCGACTGTATCGATTGTTCTGGAGCTGGAGATGTTGAAACCAGTGTAGTGAAATCAGCTGTGAATGGTATTGTTGTTGGTTTGACTGGACGAAAGTTAAAGGTTTCTTTTCTGATTATTTCTAGCCTCCAATGTCCGGTTTGCAGTAAAGTGTACGTCCGTTTTCAGGTACCAGAAAATTGGGAGAATCCCACAGGAAAGTGGCATCTTGGAATTAAACCTATCTATGAGCTGTATCCTAAAAGTCTCCGTAATGTAGTCAAGGTTTAGTACACACCATTTGATTAATGAATGGTTCACTGGATTAGGCTTAGGAAAGTGAATATCTCAGTATTCAGGAAGATTGGAAAAAAGAAATGTGGGATTCGTTACATCAGATGGCAAAAGCAGATGCGCTTCGGCAACTCGTGAAGCACGAAGAATCTGTCGGAGGATTTAGTGATAACCTTGTTCGAACTCTTGCGTTCTACTTTTGTTTATTCTCCCAGATTTTGACTCTCTACCTATTTTCATCTTAACAAATTGATCATTTAGAAAGACAAGCATGAACGCGAAAACTTGGCATGCCAAGTAGAGTTTTTGAAATCCGTGGACAAACTGGAGGATAAGGGACCTGTTGCTGATTGTATCGTATGGCACGACGGTCATCAGTGGAAGTACGTCTGTCGTCGTTTCCGTCTCTTATTGTTTTTATTTGAGTCATTTAAGGGCCTGTATTGACACGTCACTTCGTGGTCGTTTGTCTCTTTGTAAACCTATGGGTGAATTTCGGCACACTGGTCAATATAGCAAGCTTAGTGATCGTGGTAAGAAGACCACATAGAATGTTTTCATTGAGATCAATGTACGGTTTTATTAATATCAGACGAGCTGTGTTATACGTTTCGTATTGAATCTTCTGGTAACCGACTGGAAATCTGTGTACCTAGTAGTGCCCATGGTTCCCATGTAGCAAATATAGCGGCTGCTCACTTTCCTGGACAACCAAAGCTAAGTGGTCTCGCGCCTGGAGCGAGGGTTTGTGGATTACGTTAGTCGTTGAACAGGTTTATAACTTTTAACCCTTGTTGTTCAGATTGTGTCCCTAATGATTGGTGACAATCGTATTGACTCAATGGAGACCGGTACTGCTTTAATAAGAGCATTCAGTATTTGTGCAGCAATGAAAGTTGATATTGTGAACATGTCATTTGGAGAAGGAAGTCATTTTCCTGCCAAGGGGTATGTTCCAAAGTGCTTTTATAAATCCGCCGGCATTTGTTTTTTGAACATTGAATTTCATTGTATTCCTAGTTTTTCTGAATTCGTGATTGCACTCAACCGCATAATAGACGTGGGATTACCTGCAATATTTCCTAAAACCCTGGGTTTTCATTGAAGTGCCAACAGTGGACAGCGTTCTTCCAAATTTTTCGTTCCAGTCATTCCGCTATTAAAGCAGTTCCTTTCCTATTTGTAATGTTTTAGTCACTTATACCTTAGTGGATTACTGTGTAAATTTCTTGCTGTTTTTGGCATTAACGTCACGCTAAACCCAACACAGGATCGAAATTTATTTGCATTTGAAGCTGATAAAGAACTTTGAAACATGAACTAAAAATGAGAATAGTCATACAGAACTACGTCCATAAGGTAAACTTTTTGATGTAGCATGGGGTTGCGCATGGCAACCAATTTTTGCTGTCTGGTACTTCATCGCAGGTTTATTTCTGCAACTAGCCTCCCAACATTTTGATCTGAGTGTTTTTGCCGGATTTTTGTTTGCGACGGCCCAAGAAGTGGATGCGTTCGTTGTCCCATAAGTCCTAAATTTCTTACAGAGCTTCATCAAATTTTGCCTGGTATCTGCCATATATCATTCTTCTTTGTTCATCCGTAAGCGATCTTTTGAAACAATGACACTGACATAGACTAATCGAAAAGCAGCTTATGCAGATTCACAAATTACACTGTTTATAACTTCTTTTTTCAGACGTGTCATAGAAGAACTGCAAAAGCTTATCGAACAACATAACGTGATTTTTGTTGCCTCAGTAGGGAACAGTGGCCCAGCTCTGTCCACTGTTAGCACACCAGGAGGCACAACTCCAGGAGTACTTGGTAACTTCGGATTTTCACAGTAGAGCTTTTATCATCTTCCATACCTTGCATCGCTATTGATGCTAATGTCTGGTCAACAATTATAACCTGATTTTCACTTTCGTGATTTAGGTATTGGTGCCCGCATTTGTGCTTATCAAGCAGAGACTTTCTATGGTGTGTTTAATCCGGTGTGCTCAACGCTATATCCATGGAGTGCTCGCGGTCCCTGGTTAACTTCCGTTCTTTTGTTTCCATATATCATTGGTCTCCAGTTTTGCGAAATTTTGCTTTTTCCAGTGTCGACGGGTCGCTGGGTGTATCATTATCTGCTCCAGGAGCTGCCATTGCCGGCGTACCTCGTTATTGCCGTAAATATGCTCAAATGATGAATGGGACAAGCATGAGTGCTCCGAACGCATCAGGAGCAATTGGTAGATTACTAGTGGTTCTTGGTAATAAAATTTGTGGGAAATGTAACATTTAGCTTGTATGCTTTCCAAAATTCGCGCTGATGGGATTCCTTGGACATCATTTCGTGTTCGTCACGCCTTAGAAAGCACTGCGCTTACACCCCCAAATGAAAAGCCATTTTCATGTGGAAAGGGCGTTATACAGGTATCGTTTATTGCTTACATGGGTATACGAGGGGCATATAAAATGCCTTCTACATTTTTGTTAAGATTCTTGATGCGTTGGAACATATAAGAAAGTATGCAGAACAAATGCCTCCGAGCACCCTAACAGACATTCGTGTCCATGTTTCAAACGGCAACATCAGCAGACGGGGTCTGTTTCCATTTTAGTTAAGATACCGTTAATTATACTCCTGTTCACTGTATATTTAGGTGTTTACATCCGAGAGCTGTTAGAATCACAAGATATTCAGGAATACATGGTCACTATAGAGCCAAAATTCCAGGAACTCTCTGGTATAGTTGGTTTGCGTAAGTTTCTTTGTCAAGACATATCTTCTTATTTTTAGACAACGAGTTAAAATCCAATTTCTTCATGAACATAGTGCTCAGATGTTCATCTTATGTGGTGGAGTTTCCTCACACATTCCTCCTTACATCTGAGGAAAGGAGTTTCACTATAAAAGTGGATCCCACAATGGTTTCTCCCGGGGAATGTTTGTATGATGAGGTTTGTTCTTTCTTTCGAAGTTTTGGATGAACCGAATTTTCAGAGTAATGCCGTGTGTTGTTCAAGCATAGGACTTGGTGTGTCGAAAGTTGTTGGTTGTGTAAAAGTAGGCTTATAGTTTAATAGACTGGCGCCTGCATGAGCCAAATACGTTTCAAGCGTACCAGAAATACTTTCCACTTTCGATTTAAACAATCATACTTTCGCTTATAATGAAAGTTACTGAAATAAGAATCATTTGAATCTGCATTGCTGACAAGGCGTCACTTTTTGTACTCTTCAATTATAAAATTCTTTTTCCCTTTTTGGGGACCGTCAATAGTTTTTCCATGTTTTTTAACGAAGTTTGTATATTGTACAGCGATTTGGTTTAGAAAGGGGAATTTCGCGCAAGCAGATACATTAATACCTCACGTTGTTTCGTAGATGGTTTCAATTTCCACGCTTACATGTAAAAAATCCAAATTCCGCTTTTCTCTCCTAGGAATTTATGTTTTAACAAGTTTGTAAGTTAAAGAATTTCGAGGATTAACTTCCCAACGGTTTACCGCGACATCGTGGTCGGAAGACGTTCTTGGATACGGGGGAATTCGTCATTCCTGCAGGGTTTGCCATGCTGAGAAGGAGCCCCGCGATTCCATCAGGAAGCTTAGCAAAGAGTAAACCAATATAAGGATCCACCGCCGCCATGGTATCAAAGTCGCATGGTGGCAAATCTGCCTCTTATCCACAAGGGCAGCGGCTGCCTGTGTTGGTGACGACCTGGGGCAGACATTGGTCTGCCTCACCTCGGCACTCCAGAGAACCACAATGGCTTAACCAGCGAATCTCCGAAAAATGGTGATTATGCTGCGGCCCGCACCACCAATGAAGACGGGCCGTTCAAGTAGCAAATATCAAATAAAAAAGAATTTTGAAAAAATTGTTTCTGCAATTGGAGTGAAATTGGAGTGATAAAGCAAATTCTCTTCTAAAAGTCTATCAAGTTTTCAAATCGTCTATAACTTACTTACTTGGATACTTGAATTCGCCCTTCTTCACTGATTCTGCGGAGCCCAGCAAATTTTCCGTTGTTTCGGAGTTTTGGTGGTTCAACTATTGTTTCCTCGAGTACTGAGATTAGGCTAACCAAAGTCTGCTTCAGGTAGTCATTACCACAGCGAGTCGCCTCCCTTGTGGATCAGAGGGGGATTTGTCACCATTCGACTAGTTTGATACCAAGATGGTGGTGGATCCTGGTATTGTTTACCCTTAGCTAGGCTTCCTGATAGAAACGCTGGACTCCTCAGCTTGGGAGACCTTGCCAGGGGATGGATCCCCCACTGTAAATCACAGCCTGACACCCAGGAACACCTTCCAGCCACGATGAGGCGGTGAACCGTTGGAAAGGTCGTCAATAAAACAACTAAATTAATTATCGAAGATACGACGAAGTATATTAGGCATGTTCCATGGGCATGCCATAAAACTTCTAGTCTTCACCAATGTGTTAAAGCCAGTCAAGGAATAAAAAGAAATTTCTTGCCTGTGAAGATTACTCTGCCAAAAGATGATAAAAGTACTGACTTTACCTTTCATCGTCATCTGTTTTGATATTAGTTGCCTCTTCCATGTTTTAAAACGAAACTTGTTGAAGAGAAGTAACCGTATATTTTGCTGTCTGGTGGGTCAACCTTATAAAAAGAAATGTTTCCAGTTTACAATTCAGGTGACTGGTTTATCTGCCCATCACCCTGAAATGGGCCCTCTGTTCCGGGTTCCAATCACCATCATAAAGCCCGAGGTTGTTACGCATCAAGATGATTTCTCGTATACACGTTCACTAGTAGCCGAGTCTGGCATTCCGATTCGTCACTTTTTAGTTGTTCCTCATAGTTCCAACATATGTGGTATGGATTTTGCTTGTTTCTTTTTAAATTTCATCAAAAGCTATCCGGAAATTTTTTGAGAGATCAGAATAGAAAATCTCCAGCGGCAATCGGCGGATCGTTTCACGCTGCATTGCGTCCAGCTTGTCAATGAAAAGTGTTTTCGCAACACTGAGACCTTAAAGGTATAATGGTCTAATTCTACTGAGTGTTGCATTGTTATACTTATCGTGGTACTTGTTTAAAATTTAGAATCTGTCTTCTAATTGTTTCGAATGGATCACTGTAATTCCTGTAATACCAAATCGAACGCTCGAAGTGTGCATCGCACGGAGTTGGACCCGTGGGCAACAGGGAACTCCTATATCGCTGAAATGCCGTTTTCATGGAATAGATAGACCAAGTGTCATAAATCTGGTAGCATTCCTACTGAACATGATATCAATTCGCTCCTTCACGTACTAGATGACTTTAAATCAATTATGGAGCATCTATATTTGCTTATATAGATTCACGGCGCACCCTATGTTCCATTCCGTGCTGAAGCCGCTCCTATTCGACCTATCGAAATCAAGCCAGTGATCTCGTTAAAGTTTGTTGTTTTCTACATAAATAACTAAAATAATGTTCTCTGTTTGTATGGTTGAAGCATTTCAGCACTCTTCATGTGCCTTTCAAACCTGTTTCGGCCAAAATTGGGCCACTAGGTCCGCGCGATTTGTTGGCGGATGGAAAACAAGTGCATCGTATTCTGCTTACCTACAAAATAAATAGTTTAGTTGCAATATGTTTATTATCTTGGCTATTTTCCTGGCGTTAAAGTCATTTATATAAAATTATTTAGTCAACAAATCTGCTGAAATTCGTCTCGACTTGCCTAGCGTGACGTCTTACTTATATGAGTCGCCTTATGACTGCATACTCTTCCAGTTGTTTTCGGCGTCTAAAGAGTTTATTGGTGCCTCGAGCAGTTTCCCAGAAAGGGTTCGTTTTGCTTTTTTCAATTGACGCCTAATCAATCATTTGTTATAGTACACGTACAAAGTGGAGAAAGGTGAATATACCGCCCAAGTGCAAGTTCGTCATCCTAACACTGATCAGCTGGAGTTACTAGCTGATACGCCACTACAGTATGTTATAGAGAACGATAGCTTATTCAGATTAACAGTAGTTCTAAAGCTTAATTATAGTGTGAGACTACACGTCACTCCTGCATTAACTCTCGATATTACTTCTTCCCCTAATGCAGGAGAAGATGGTATGCGGTTAGCGTAACAGTCTATGAGTATTAGTTATGTATGGTTTATTTATAGCATTTAAATGGGCTAACAAAACTTTGAATGCTGGCCAGCAGGTTACATTATATGCTGGTGGTCTTCCTGACGATAAGTTTGTTGCTATGTTCTATTATGGCTCCGTCCATTTTGCACTTGTTGAAATGTTTCGTTTAAGAGTACCAAAAACAGTTTCGGTTACCGGAGGATCATTTTTAACCGGAAACTTGATCATGGTTGCTGATAGTGATCTTAGAATGGTTAGTTATATTTGACTAATTTGTCATCGTTTATCACGTTAACCACTAATTGTATTGTTGACAGTTATTCGTAGTGATTAATCAAGTTGGACGCAAAGGTTTTGGTTCCCATTTAACTTTCCGAAGGAAAATCCTTTTAAATAGAATTATAATTTAAAGGTGGACAAGACAGCTGTGATATATCTGTTTACTGAATACAGTACTCGGCCTAGCAAGGCTTTGTCGATGGTGACATTCAAAGAAAAGAAAGCCGATTTTTCTAGCCAAGAACAGGAAATGGAGGGTAGTTGCTTCAGTTGCAATGCTTACATTTATTTATTTATGAACCTAGATTACTTACCCTCCATTACTTCGATAATTTATGAACGCAACTACAGAAAGTATTCGGGATACGCAAATCTCATGGCTAACGAAACTCAAGGATCCACTTGCCGTCGATCGCCTCTATACTGAGCTCATTAGCAAGTATCCTACCCACTTACCACTGTTGCTTACGAAATTAAGGCTCCTTGCTGATAAAAAGGTGAACTAAAAGTTCATTGTCTTTTTTTTTTGCACTTCATTTTCAGTTTATTACTCCCTTTTTAGCGATCTAGACAGGAAACCGAAACATTGAATTTGATTGTAACGCAAATTATTGAGCAGTGCCAGCCTGACGAAGTACTGAAATATAACGGTTCTCGTAATGAATGTAGCATAGAACAACTGGCTCTGAAGAAGTGAGTTTGCGTTTTTAGGGTAATTTATGAGCTATTTATTTATTTCATATTACATCGTTTATGAGGTCTATGGATGAACGCAAAGCAGCAATAATAGATTCTATATTGGCTTGCTGTCATAGTGCTGTTGACGAGTACTTGGCATTGTCCAAGAAGGCTATTCCTCCCATATTTCGCAACTCCCTTAGACCTGTGTTTGATGCCAACACTACAAAGGTGTTTTTTGATTTTGATTTAAAAAATTATCTACAAAATGAAAATGACTTAATGAAGTATATTTTTTGAATTTCTGCATTGTATAGGACGAAGCAACGTCAGAGCAAGTGGATAAAGCGGGTGAAAGTAAGTGTAAAGTACAGACAGAAGCTAACGGTGCTACTACAACCGATGGAGAGGATGGCGCTGAGGTTGGTTTGTTTCTATATTGAAAAAAATTAGATTAATCTTTATGCAAAATGAGCTCGCATATCTAGTTTGATTTAATTCATCCGCCACAATCATTTTCTTCTTTTCCTGTTACAAAACATCTGTTCCACATTTCCCGGACAGTCCAGTGGTTTCGTATTTTCATTTGACACATCTCAAAATTATTTGCATGGGACTTATTTGGATACTTCAGTGGCCCATCCCCACTGTTTGTGCGGACTGCAGCATAATTTCCATTTGATTGAACATTTGCTGGTTTAGCCGTTGTGGTTCCATGCTGCCCTGAGGTCAGTCTAGCCAAGTCTTCCCCAGGTCGTCACCCCCACAGGTAGTCGCCAGCCTTGTGGATCAGAGGAAGATTTGGCACCATGCGACCAGTTTGATACTAGCACTGGATCCTAGTATTTTTTTACTCTTAGCAGAGCTTCTTGATGGAAATGCCGGATTCCTTTTCAGCTTGGGAGACCTTGCGAAGAGGATGAATCCCTTCGATGTACATCGTAGTCCGATACCCAGGAACACCTCCCAGCCACGATAAGGTGGTAAACCGTTGAGAGGAGCGTGGAACTAGCTTTTAAAAAGGTTCCTAACACAGGCCGTTTGAACTACGCCCTTTCAAAGGTGTTCGAAACAAAGCATCTTGTTTTGAAGTTACTATGGGGAACTGATTGTAGATGGTGCAGCAAGTACTATTTATACTGAACAATATGTTGTGTAGAACAAACGTCCACTGTTAATGACGGGCGGTTAGATACTATTAAACGAGGACGTTTTACAGTGTGTTAGATACCATTGCCGTAAAGAAGCATGGCAATTCATACTTCTTTTCTCAAAATGAATTTCCTATTTTTTCCCTGGACTGTAATTAGATTGAGTCTTGCAGTTTTTAATTTTTAGGTACATATTCTAAAAGATATCGACGTACTAAATGACAAGCTGCTTCATTGGATTGCTGCTGACGACGCAAAGGTACAACTCTGACGTCGTCTAAAATTGGTTTCACAGTGTTTTTATTTGAAAATTGCTCTTTTCAAAATTGAGAAGTGTTCGCACTCAATGATGGAAAAGTCCATGCTTTAGGTCTTGCTTAGGTATGCGATTGAATTTCTAGGTTCTCATCAGGTGTTACAGGCTTTGCTTTTTTCTGCCAAGTATTCTGTTGCTCACGGATATATGGGTAGAGCTTGCTCCTATCTTCAGAAACTCATTGAGAATATGAGAACAAATGGAAAGGATGCATCAATGCTGGAGTTAGCTCTCATTGAGGTTCTTGTTGTTTTGCCTGCTAAATTGTGATAGATTTCGAACACTATATTTCATCTAATACAGCGAAATTGTCCAGGTTTGTGAACACTTGGGCTGGTTCCATGTTGCGAACCGTTTGAGGAATGACCGTTTAGTGCGCAACCGCTCATCATTTCGACCATTCTAGGATTTTTCTTTGTAGGTGTTTCGTAGGCTGATATTGATTTTCTTTAGGCTTTGATGTTCCCTAAAACTTTCTGAGAAGTAAATTTTTCGGTGTCATTATTATACTTCTTTTATTCTGTCTTCATCCTCATAGATTCGAAGAGGTTTTGATTCTGTACTATTGATCTCTTTTGTCATAACAAACTATATCCTCTGGTCCGGAGAAATGCTATATTCTCGTTTGGTGTTGCCTTTGCTTTACTGATAAACATGTATCTTTCATCGTTATGTTTCATTCGCTCTTCACTATTCATTGTCCGACTGCTCACCAACATTTCGTGTCACATGAACTTGACGGTTATTCGATTCGTGATACGCTTTGCATTGTAATGCATCCATAAAAAGGTGGACATATTACCGGTTATCTTATTTTTTCATTACGTAATGTCTTTGTGGATAAACATGAAGTGCTGTTTGTTCTCGAAAATCGCATGGTTTTCATTACACCAACTTACCAACTGAGCGTTTTATAAGTAACCTTATGTGTTCTACTTTTTTGGAAAGTCGACTGACTGAATTAAATAAGTTAGGGGACTTAAACATGACTTCCGACTGTAATTGTTCATTGTCATTCCTTTTCTTTTTCTGTTTTGATCCACATATCATATTCAAAGATGTGAAGAGGTATTAACACATTCGCTACTTCCTTAGTTGTAGTGCGTCAGATTTCCTTTGCGTTATCTCCGTCGTGGAGTCAAGAAGTGTCGGTCATCTGTCATCCACACCCACATCCACCCCTAAGTAGTTGTGAGGTGGTTACCATTGCATCCATTGCTTACGTGGAAATATTCGATAGTCTAAAGATACCGAGGACATTATCCTCAGACTAACGTATAGACGCGTCCTCTATGAGAGGTTTCTTGACTACAGCAATTCACAATACAGCAACGGAGCAGCTTTGTTGACAAACACATCTCCATTTGTTAAAGAAATACCGTAAGGCGACACAGAATGGTCATAGTTGTTTGTCAATGTATCACAATGTTTCATGCACTCATTCTGTTTTGATGAGAAAGAGACACCTGTTGATGCCCTCTGCAACATTGCCTTGCCAACAACGTTGTTATCTTTCCGAACATTGCCGTGCAAACGAAACGGGGCTTACTGTTTGATGAAACTGTAAATGTGGAAACTAAGGACCATTCGGAGGAGGAATTAATGTACGAAGAAACCGTAGTGTAAAGATGTGTAGGGGTGGTTCAACGATTGAGGGGGAATTAGTTAACGTAAGCTTGGAATGCTCAGCGATTATACATATTAACTTAGGAGAGTGAAATGGAAAACGACCACTAACGTCAATCTCTTTCAAGAATCTAAGAAACGAAACAAAACCCATTTGCTTACCCTGGCACAAGTGGTGTCATACTTGTACTGGATTGTTCAGAAACTAATGGAAGTTCTTTATTTTTTATCCGTCCTGTATATGATATAGCAACAAATTTTTCTTTTTTTTTCCGAACGATATACTATTATTTATCAGTAAAAAAGCTTCTTTTTATGGACTTCTACATAGTATAGTCTAATTGCAGACTCCGTCTCAATTTATAGATTAACTACAGCATCCCACATAGTATAGTCCAAATACAGATAAATGTCCAAACAACAGTTTCGACAAATTTCCGTTAGCGATTTCAAACTCGAATGTACGCACTGCAAAAGACCCGAAAAATTAACCCATTTCTCCCCGTGTAGACGCTGTAGTGTCCATATTAATTTTGGTGGGTACCTCGTGTGGACACCATAGTGTCCATATTAGGTTTGGTGGGTCCCATCGTGTGGATGCTGTAATGTCCACATTGAGTTTAGTGGGTCCTCCAATGGGCACTGTAGTGTCCATGTTGAATTTAGTGGGTTCCAGGGTTCCAGAGTTTTTTTCTTATTTTTTCCACTGCACCATATATATTCATTATATAAATATGGGATATATAGAATATATATTCACTTCCAGCAGTTTGCCACCTCATCGTGGGTGGGAGGTGTTCCTGGGTGTCGGGATGCGATGTACACTGAGAGATCCATCTTCCTGGCAGGGTCTCCCAAGCTGAGAAGGAGTCCAGTGTGTCCACCAAGAAGCCCAGCTAAGAATGAACCAATACCAGAGTCGACTACCAACGTGGTGTCGAACTATTGGTCAGGCTGACCTAGGGATTCCAGGGAATCACAATGGCTTAAGCAGCGGATCTCTGAAAAAATGGAGATTATGACGGCACCCGCACAACCAGTGAGGACATGCCATTCAAGTATCAAGTATACATATCATTCATATCCACTGAACCATAAATCAAAGTTTCCTCTATAATCCTTCAATGTTCAAAACCCCTCAAGTATTGTTGTGAAAAAACCAGGAAGTTCGCTGGCGAAGAAAAAATACTAGTATCAGAGTGTGTCTAGCCACGAAAAAACGACGTCATGGCGTTTCGGGTTAATGAGCCCATGGTACGAAGAAATGTTGACGACCAGTAGTGAAATTTTTTCTTTCTTTTTTTTGGAAATCTCGTAGCAATTTCGGCTTTGATATTAAGGAAATTTGCGGTCGTCCTTCTGGTATTGACGACGCAGAAATGAAGGCCTTGGTGGAAGTAAACACAAGGAGTTGTTCGAGAACTTGCAGGTGATAATAATATATATAGCTTATATATGTAACTAACGGTATAACTTTTTCAATGTTTCGGAACATCTAAGGAGGGTATAAAATTTGACGAGAAAACTCGACAAATGGATTCCGTACAAATTGGATGTACGTCGCGCCTACCGATGCTGTAATGTTTGAACGAGTTGGCCTTCGGAACTTTGCCCGATCCACGTCGTCCGAAATTCTAGAATCTAATGCGAACGAAATAAATAGTTATTCCTGAAGCCAAAATTCTGTGGATTCTAATGGTTCTTATCTAGATTAGGTACGTCCATTGTGAACAAATATGACGCTGTAAAGGATACATTTTGAAATCCTGCATCAGTTTGCGAACAACCTAGTAAATGTTCAGTATTGCCGAGTTAAACGGTAAAATTTCTGCCGGGGAAACGTCTAAAGAACTCCACAACAGGGCAAGTCAGCCAGGTGCAATAAAACGAGTTCAGGGTTTGTCCGAGTTCTTTTTCAAAGTTTTC